TGAGGGATCAAAATGAAACTTGTCTCAAAGTGAAAGGGTATAGACTATAATTTATAAAACTATCCTATTGCTGAACACTTCTCACTCTTAACCTATACTATAATCTTTCGTGTAATGCAAATATAAGGAACCAAACTACTGGGCACTACAACAGACGACGCAATGTCCCCGTCTAGATGAAGCAATGCATGTTTGGGAGAATCTAACTCCATGATGGCGGAGGTTGACGATTAGAAGAAAAGCAGCTTTCATCGATCAGATCATCATGAAGCAAAAGAGCCTTTTTTTTTCTTTTTGCGTTGGCAACGAGCCTTTTCTCTTCTAGTTTCATCATCCTGCTCGATCAAGGTGGTCCTGAATCCTGGTGAAAGTTTACGTTGTTTTCTGATGCATTTAGTTTTTAATTTTTTTTTTATAGGGTGTTCAGGTTTACGCCATTACTTTCTTGAGTTCTGAATCAGTCACTATGATAGTAACTTGTGCTAATTTACGGATGCATTCAGTTGGGATTAAGACTTCTGAGCTGCATAATTATACAGAATGGTCTTCATAAATGGAGGTTGCTTCAGATCATAATTATTGTAATTCCATGTGCTGTGACATGGTTTTTATTTTTCACAATGATGGTTGATGCAATCTTTTCCGGTAAGGTTCGTCCTGCCGGCCCTAATTTAAAAGCATTTAAAAGGTGCCATCATTTCCTCCCGTAAAGTCTAAAGATTCTTTCTGCAAAAAATTCAAAAGCAGTCCGATTAGTAAAAAACATGTGTTATTGTATTCCTAAAGCAATTCACTTTAGTGATTTTGAGTGCATAGTGTGAGAATAGTGAGTACGAGCCTACGTTAGTTTTGCTAGAGATCTTTGCTTACGGCAAACTTGGAAAAAATAAAGTAGTATAAACAAGTAGTTATCTAGCTGGCCTTTTATGTTGTTCCCAAAATGACAATGTATTACTCCAGGTACATAATTTTCATCCTCTTTCTTCTAAGAATCATTTCGAAAACATGATTTAGAACCTACTTGCCAAGGCAAGGGTTGTGTAATGGGTAATGACCTACATTTTTGTAAGGTTGGGTGGAGTTTCATAGTAGTAGACATCCGATTCAAACCGAAGATGAAAGTTTAGTGTTGGGCCTTTGTGGAGTCTAGTTTGCATTTTGATTCGGATGATGATCCTGACCCGAAGTAATATTGCATGATTTTTTAATAGAAAATTTTTTGAAAATTTTTTTGGACTTGTTTTGTACTCCGGTGTGTAAGACATATAAAAAATCGCTATTTTGATAATTAGAGTTTGATCGAAGTGTATAGCCGCTCTCCGTAATCTTCTCTTTCAATAATAAAATTCCCGAAGTTTCGTAGACGTAGATAAATTGCCGAACTACGTAAAATTTATGTGTCTTGTTCTTTCTTGTTTCTTATTGCTTTATGTTCTTAGTATGTTCTTCGATTTTGTGTGTTTGTTTGTGAGTTTAAAGCGTATTAAATCTCAACATTTAGGTCATATTTGTCACGTTTAGTAAAAAAGTACTCACGTAATCACTATATTTAATGTAATGGTGTCGGTAATATTGTATAATTGTGCATATGATGACAATGTTTGTATTCCTCCCTGTATTTGCTCGTTTGATTTCGTGTTCTTACCTTTGATTATGTTACAATTTATAAGAAATTTTAATGATTCGTATGAAATTTAGAACACCTAAGTTACCAAGTTTATAACATACATGTATGAGTCATGATACTTAATTTCCGAATTTCTTTCTTGAAAAGACAAGGTTTTCCTCTCATTCTTCAAAGTAATAGGCGGCTCTCAATGGGACCAGCCAATTTAGGGTTATGAAGTGGAGAGGGGACCTAACCTACTATTTATAATGAAATCTAATGGGCTCTCCTATTACGGGCCACAATTAGATTAATGCCTACACTTAACCGTCTCAACCACATAAATTAAAAGATGTACATAAGTCCATTAAAATAGATCACTTAATAATATTGAGCTCATCTCATTGGATCATAAATTCAGCCCGTTTTTTACAAACTAAAATTAACTATCAATTAATAACAGTCCAATATAAGAAAAAATTCCAACAACATTTTCATTTTTCTGCTATTTGGCTATCTCTTATATGATCCGGAGTTAGGGAACTTAATTCCCAACAAATTTGTGCAGTATCATCAAGACGTGGAATTGCGGAGGGAAATATGAAAGCAGAACAGAAGAAGAGTGTGAAATGCCTAGGCTTAATGAGATCACATGTAGAAAGGGATTGTTACTTTTAAGCAGTCACACTGGATGAGAAAACCAATCCTAGCCATGGCCTATTTTCATTTTTCTGTTTTTTGGGTCATTTTTTATGCACCAAGTTAACCGTAGCCATTGGATCAATGAAGAGACTCACTGATCTAATGACTATAAGTGATTTGGTGTAAATTTTGATGTGCATATAGCATTACTCTTTTTTACTTTAGCAACATTAATTATTTTTACAATAAGGGGCATGTTTGACGTGGGCACAACTTGACCATGCACCAACTACACGTGGGAAAATTTGTTGACCTAAGAATAAATTATTGTATTCACGGTAAATTTTATCCAAATATTAAGATCCATGACAAGGTGGACCCCACTCATTCAAAGAACTACTCCTTTTTGTAAGATAAAAAGTGCGGTTATCTTATCCACTTATTCATTTAATATTTAGAGAGTTACATCACACGATAATGTTCTATATTACTTTTGACGATGTACGGCCAAATTCACCGCATCTTCATAGTAAAGAGAACCCTACAATTATTTGAGAATTGGAAGGGAGTCAAATCCACATCTTCAATATCCTCATGTAGGCTAAAAACGCAACCGCATTGGATTTTAAGCAAGTGATAGGGGAAGCCATGGCCCATGGCTCAACCAGAACATTTTCTCCCAGCATTGCTCGAAAGGCCTAGACTAGAACATTGACTCCATGTCTTGGACCGTAATGGTTAGCTATACATGGGTATTCTACATCGGAATCTAATTTTAGCGCATAGAAAGGTTGAAAAAATATAAAGTAGACAACGTTGGCCCATAGTCCATAGAACCCCAACAAATGATATATTAAAGATTATTATGGAAACAAATATGATTGAAGCTGTGAAGCTACAACACAAAAGTTCTAATACATGGTAGGATGAAAAAATTAAGAGCTCGTATTTAGTGCATTATGCCTTCTACTTATAAGTCCACTTTCAGTTAGTATTTATTGTTGAGTGATCGCTCACTATCTTGCTGAAAAAAGTGGTGTAGAAGCTTCCTCTCTCCCAATTAACAACGCGAGATCACAACTTCTCTTAGTAATGGACTTTCTTGAATTTTCCTTAATCTTAGATTTCCTTTCATAGATATTTGAACCTCCGATAGACAACATCTTCATGCATGTGTTCTTGCCCTCCCTCCCTCCGCCATACATCTCTTTTTTGCCGTTTTTTTTCTTTTGGCTTTTTTTTTTCTTTTGGCTTTGAACCCCATCTTAGGTGCTGAGTGGTGTCATGCATAATTTCATATATGAAGCGTAAAGCTTCAACTATGGCATGACAGTAAGTCGGTCTAGTCTCCTACCCAGCTGTCGCCTTCTTCAATGGCAAGTTGAAGCATACAACAGTTCTTCGGCCTACCACCGTTCTTTTTCGAGTTTGAACTTCTTCAATTGAAGCTAATGCTATGCTGCCCTTCCCATGTTCAAGAGAAAGCGAGGACTTCTTTTAGCTACCGGCCCAAACAAAATATATTAGCCTCTTGATCGATCGATTGATTGGATCAAAGTACGAAGGGGTTGATTGGTTACTTGTGCTTTCTAACAGCAGTACAGGATTGACTGTGATGAGAATTTTAGTCCCATGACAAAGATTCCTATTGTGCAAGTGCTCATCTCTCTAGCAACAAGTCTTGGCACCTATTGCGGATGGACATAAAAAATGCTTTTCCCCTATGGTGTATCTCTACACCATTCTCCTACCTTTATCCTGCATTCACATCATATGAATAAACTTCTACATTCAATCAAACCAACAATTCATTTTGCGTTCCAAGCCAAGCTCAAAGTCTCAGGTATCACTGAATGCTTCCTTTCCCGATCTACGACTCGTACTTAAGAAGAAATGAAAGGATAGCAGTAGGTTATATTTAGGTTGGTTCTATTTGAGTTACCCTTTTCTCTTTCCTACTCTCCTATGTTTCTACTTAATAAAAGACATTTTCATCATATATAAAAGAAGAACCTTTGAGATGGGGTTGTTGTTCAGTGAGACTCTACGGAAGGAGTTCTGCTTTATATTGGAAAGAGTTATTGAACAGGCATATGCTTTCTTTCGTTTCTTTTATTCCATTTGCAAAAGTCTTACATAATGAGTCAAAATCCAATTTTCATATTATATATATGATCGACTTTTGCGAGTTCAAGTTTGGTCAAATAGCATTCTTGAACTTCCCTTCATTCCATAAGGCCTTCTCTAGCAAGCGTATGAAAAAGAAAGGCAAGAGAAGAGTTCACACATGCAAAAGCTAATACTTTAAGTATGCTTACCGAAATATTCAAATAATCACTTAAAAAACGGATTTGGGGTACAACGAAGGGTCAAGTGCTCTATGGTTGGTTTGATGTCAAAAGAACTCAACTTGAAAAAGATTCTAGATCAATAGAAAGCGGAGTTAGGTAAAAATATATGGATAAAGTTCATGACATGACCAACAATTTTATAGATGCATTTCTGTTGAGAATTAAGAAGAAGAGGGAGAACGTTTTCAATTGGTCAAATCTATCATCATGGACGCCTTCCACTTACAAGTCTACCGAGGTTGTCCCATCGTATCCATAGTTTTTTGGAGAAATTAATTTTCGAAATCAATTCCCATGTATCATTTGGACAAATGAATATTTGCTATTAGACTCGACCTCCAATGGGAGACAAACGTTAATTACCTGAAGAAAAGATATAGGGAGTCAATGAGGATTGGTACCCAAAACTTCAACTTTTTCCTGGCAAAATTGGGAAGGAATTAGAAAGATTCCGTAGCAAATCCTAATAAATTTAGACCAAAACATCTTCCAAAATAAATTGAGACAAACTGGTATTTACAGACACAGAACATCACACAATACCCCAACATCAGAACTCAAGAATGAAAGAATCGTGGACTAATCTATCTTCCTAACCCTTGAACCAAACTTCTAACACCTTCCTTTCAATCACTTGTTGAAGGGACTGCAGCGCCGTCATCGCCGGAACTTGTGGCGGTTTCCGGTGGTCTAATCTCTTCCAGTTGCTGCAGAACCTGATGAACTTCAGGCCGAGCCGATGGCGATGGATCAACACAATGCAAAGCCAATTTCAATGTGTTCAACAACTCATCACCAATTATGGTGGCATCCCTCATTAGCTCCAAATCAAACACTTCATTTGTCCACTCCTCCTTGACAATGGAGGCAACCCATTGAGGCAAGTCCACACCATTCATTGCCTCCCCCGGAGACTTTCCAGTCAGGAGTTCAAGGATAATCACTCCAAGGCTGTATACATCTGTCTTTGTGTTAGCTTTTTTAAGCTTTGAAAGTTCTGGGGCTCGGTATCCAAGTGCGCCTGCTGTTGCTATGACATTAGAATTTGCAGCAGCTGTCATTAGCCGCGAGAGGCCATAATCTGCAATCTTTGCATTTGTGTGCTTATCAAGTAGAACATTGCTTGATGTTAAATTCCCATGAATTATGTTCCCGTGAGTGTGAAGATAAAGCAAGCCTCTTGTCATGCCTTGCGCGATTTTCATCCTTGTAGGCCAATCAATAGGTGTATCAGGCCCTCGAGCTGCAGAGTGAAACAAAAGAAATTGTTAGCTAATCATGGCTAGGTGGATTCATATAGAGATTTTCCCCCAATTTATTGCCTAATTTTGTTTATTTCCCCATCTATCGTGGTTTTCAGTTTTTTTGTATTTAACGTGTTTTGCAAACAAACTTTTAAGGGGTGTGTTAACTCCGCGATTTATATGAAAGACGTTGACAAATAGTTTAGAAATTACCGAAAATAAAGTTAAAAAAGTACAGTAATTCAGAAAGTGATGCAGGCCAAGACCCGCAACGTTTGAGGATAGGCCTGGGCCACTCAACGCTACTAATCGCAGATGCCACTGACCACATAAATATGTCATTATGATCCTGCATCAATAAGTATTAGTACAGGAATCAGAGTAAAATTCACTTACCATGAAGGAAAGTTGCTAAACTTCCTCTGGGCATGTAATCAAAAACAAGAAGCTTCTCTCCTTTAGGACCCAAATAATAAGCCCTCATAGCCAAAAGGCTGGGGTGTCTGATTTGCCCTAGTACATTAACCTCTGCTTCAAATTCTTTCTGACCCTTAGTGATCTTCTCTCTCAATCTCTTCACTGCCACTTGACTTCCATCCTCCAATGTGGCCTTATAAACAGTTCCATAAGTACTCTTTCCCATAATTTCTGCAGTTGCACACAAGAGATCATCAGCTGTAAAAACCATTGGCCCATCAAAGTGGACAAGTTTTCCTCCGGTCTCTCCACCGGCTTCAACGTCAGCCCCGGAGGGCGGGACGCCCTTTTCAGCCCTCGTTGCACTTGGCCCCGCCCTTCCCGCGGCCTGACCACCACCACCGTCCTTTGCTTTTGATGCTGCCCTTTTCCTGATTAAGCAGAATAGTAAAATACAACAGAGTAATAGCAAAACTACAAGGAGAGCCCCAGCTGCTATGAGAATAATATCTTTGGTACTTAGTTTTCGATGTTTTTTTGGTGTCTCTGGTGGTGGAGCACCAGGGGTGATTGGAGGAGGGGCTATAGGACATTGGGTTGAAGCACTGTACCCGCATAGCTGAAGATTGCCCACAAAGGCACTTGAATTGAATTTTTTAGATAGAGGGGTTGGAACAGGACCAGAGAGGTTGTTGTATGAGACATTGAAATTACTTAGCTTCGGTAGATCACCAAGTGAGATTGGAATTTCTCCACTGAAACTGTTGTGAGATAAATCAAGTTGAGTGAGTGAGGAGATGTTCCCAAGAGTTGCCGGAATAGGGCCATGAAATTGGTTATCCCTCAAGTTGAGAACTGATAGGTTCCCTAGTTTGTTTATGTCTTCTGGGATTTGGTTATCAAGGTGGTTGCTCTCCAAATTCAATAAAAGGAGTGAGGATAGATTGGAGAGACTAATGGGTAAGCTTCCATTGATAGCATTATATGAAAAATCTAAGGTTTTAAGCCTAGAGAGCTTTCCTATATCATTTGGTATGACTCCACTGATTTGGTTATGACTCAGTGAGATCTCTTGGAGCTCTCTTAACTTGCCCAAAGAAGTAGGAACGTTTCCAGAGAAGGAGTTGTGATCAAGTGTCAAGGACTGAAGGTGAAACAACTGATTGTTTCCTGTTCCACCCCAAGAGTCTGGTATAGGGCCAGAGAGGTTATTGTATTGAAGAGCAAGGAAAATGATTGAAGGCATTTGAGTAAGAGTAATGGGGATTGAACCAGACAATGAATTGTAGCTAAAATTGAACCTAAAGAGCTTAGTGGAGAATGCAAGACTAGCTGGGATTGTCCCAGTCAATGAATTGTTACTAAGGTCAAGTGTCTGAAGCAGAGGACAAGAACCTAGTGAAGGAGGGATTGAACCCGAAAACCGGTTATTGAATAGTTGAAGCCCCCTGAGATTGGGGATAAACCCCATTGATGAAGGAATTGAACCTCCAATAACATTGTCATGGAGGCTAAGCTTTCTGAGAGCCTGAAACTGGCCAATCTTTTCGGTTATTCGGCCGCCTAAGCCCCTCCATGGAAGCTGGATTACAATGACCTGACCTTGAGCACATTTGATTCCAGCCCAACCACCAGAACAAGCACCATAGCCACTGTCATTCCAGCTTTTCAAGAACCCTTTTGGATCAACCAACTCGTGCTTGAATGCTTGAAGTGCTTGGTAGTCTGATTGGGTGACGATTATACCATCCCAAGCCTGGCTTGAAACAGGTTGAATGGTACAAATCAGTAGCTGAAAGAATAAGAAAAAATGGGTGTAGAGAAAGAACCTCTTTGAACACCTAGAAGGGCCAAAAGAATTGGACTGAATCTTCCATTTTTCCTTCTTCTTATCCGAAATGTGACGCCAAACAGCTGCCTTTTTGATTGAAAACTGAAGAAATTGAGATGGGTGTGTGTAAAAACTATTAAAACAATGAATTTGTGTCTCCATAACCACTAAGAAGTAGCAAAAATACGTTTAACAAATAATGCTAAGAAGGATTGAAAGAAGAAGAAAAATAAGTCTGCCTCTGAAGCCTTTTAATGGTATATATGTGCTTGAGTGAAAAGAGACTATAGAGTATAGACTACTATATGATAAAACTGAACTATAGAAGAAGTGAAACAGGAGAGAAGAACAGTTGTGAGAAGGTTTTGTAGCGAGAGCAAGAGAGCTTGAAGGTGGGTGGGGGTTTCCTGTGATGGAGCACGTGAAGAGGAGAGAGAGAGGGAGATGAAACTAAAACGGAGGAATCTCTTGTTTTCGGGAGACATGAAATGTCAGGTATCCATTAGATTCAGACGCTCTTCTCCTAGCACAAATGCCTAACGGCTAGTTTTCCTGACCAGATGAAAACATGGTCTTGGGTGTTGGGAAACGGGTCTTCGTATTATTTATTAGCCGCTAGCTCCTCCCAACGGCTATCGTTTTCGTGTGGGGACCAACCAACGCTTTTTATCTGGATTAGGGTGCACTATATTACAAGGTTGCTACTGTTTTTTTCCTAATGACCATAATGCCATTGACATATGTGCACAAGAACCTAGGTACGTGGCTTTTTTGGGGTGGGCCTCGGTCATACGATGTAAACTCTGATTTGTCTTTTTACTGCTAATTCTGACAGTTCTGGGTTGACGTCACTTGCCCGTCGGGTCGTATAATTCATTGATGACTTGGAATTGATACCCGCTCCATAATTGATGTTTTTTTTTAAAAAAAAATTTCAGTCACACCCCTCTTAATTTATTATATCTTCAAGAACATTCTCGCTATTATCAAAAACATCACTAACACTCATTCTAATTTATATTTAAACATCACTAACACTCCTACCATTAAACTATCATTTCTAACAAAAAATATTCATCTAAAATACCAAAAATACCCCTACATATACCTCAAGTAATTTTTCTATATAAAATTTTATTAAAATTTCATCCAATTAAAATTTAAATCAATTAAAATTCGATTGAAGCTGATTAAATTGTATTTTTTAAAACATATTAAAATTCGAGGCTATTAAAATTTATTTTTTACATATTAAAATTTGAGTCAATTTGAACTCTACCCGAATTGTTAGCGCCGATTAAAATTTATATTTTTTTACTTATTAAAATTCGTGTTAATTAAAATTTATATTTTTTTATGTATTAAATTTTGGTCTGATTAAAATTTAATGCGAGTTGATTAAAATTTGATTTGAGTTTATTAAAAATAATTTTTAATTGGCTTAAATAGAATTTTAATCAGCCCAAATTTAATACATAAAAAATATAATTTTTAATCGGCTCAAATTTTAATATGTAATGAATAGAATTTTAATCGGATCGAAGTTTAATACGTAAAAAAAAATAGAAAACAGAAGGGGTGTCATTGAAGATATGCTTATCTAGAGGGGATGTAAATGAAGTTTATCCTCAAATATATCATGTGTAATTTAGTAAAATTGTATTTTAGTTAATAATTTTAATCTAATAGGGGATGTCACTGAAGATTCAAAAATAGAGGGGGTGTCTTTAAAGATACGATAAACTAGAAGAAATGTAGTTGAAATTTTCCTCTTTTTTTTTTTCAGACACCGCAAGAGCCCAATAAAATCGTACAATTTTTAGAAGTAAAATATGTATCTTTGATTTGTATAACAACGTATTCAATTAAGTTTGAAAATAAATAAAAAGGTTAATTGTCCTGGAAGTTTCAAAAGTACGAAGTTTACTTTATTTTGATCTCTAATAATTTAATTGTATTATTTTTTATTTTTGAAATATTGAATATGTTTCTATATGGTCCCTCAAGTTGACAAAATCTAAATTACTAATAATTTTTTATCATAAATTTGTCACGTGATACTTAAATATATACAAAAAAATAATTTGAATAATTCTTGACCAAATTTCTATTCAAATTTTGGTTATATAACTACCTAAATTATACAATTTGATCATAATCTATCTAAATTTGGTCAAAAATTACTCATATTACACATTTTTGTTTTATCAAGAGCTACCCAAATTTTATTTAAGAGCTATCAAAATTATTTTTTTGTTCATATTTAAGATTATAAAATAAATTTATGATAAAAAATTATTAACAATATAGACATTATATGTTTGAAGGATCATATAGAAACATATTCAATACTTCAAAAATCAAAATGATACAATTGAAACATTAAAAACTAAAATGAGATAAATCTCATATTTTAGGTACCTCCGATACAATTAACCCTAAACAAAACAAAACAAAACAAAAAAAATCTTGTTATACCTTACATTCCTGCACTTCTTTCCAACCAAAGAGAATAAAAAGTTCTTTGTTTTGTTTTTCTAATTTTTCTTTTTTTTTTAAAAAAAAATTTCCACTTTTATGCCAAACAAGAGAAAAGAAAAAAGAGAGAAATATCCAAAAAATGACATTTCTTTATTTTTAGCTTTTTGTGACTCAGATCGTTTGATGATTATTAACTTGACGGTTTTTATACCAACTTTTTCCAAGACTCTTATCACTTATTTAACTCTCTTTATATCTATCTTATATTCTCTCTCTCTGTCTCTCTCTCTCATATTATTATCTTATTTTTTATGTTTTCCTAGTTTTATTTTTTTATTATTTATTCCATAAAACATATGAAATTACATGTTATACAATTATTTATTCCATAAAATTAATTCAAAATTTAATATATTTGACAACATGTATTTTGTCACTTGCTTCTTAATTTATAAATAACACTTAAATGTAAATAAAAAAATAGCACTTCACGATTTGAGGTCTTTTTTATTTGAGTTTCACATTTGTGCCTGTAAGTCTTAATTGATTCAAGGCCTAAATTCTTCTAAAATTCTCATTGATAATAGTTTTTATATAGACTATTTTTTTAGTTTTTTTTAATATTCGCTCTATTTGTTATAACTTTGGTACTAAATTTTTTTGAACTATTAATTTTTCAAATTTTTTTGTCAACTTTTTAATTTATTTTCACTTATTTTTATGTGAACCAAAGATTTTTGAGTTTAACAAGCGAAGGTGAGCCATTTTTTTAAACAAAAAGTGGGGGTGAACAATTGATTTGGTTTAAGTATGTGCGGTTGAATCTTGACCAAAAGAAAATATATCAAATGATATAGTAAGAAAGAATACGCTATGGTGTGAAAAAATCTATATTTAAATTTTACGGGTTTAAATACAAATTTTAAAGTTTATGTACAACAAAAAAAATTATAATTTAAGGTCAATTTCATGTTAGTTTAATCAACAACAAATAATATTCAACACGAAATGAACCTTAAATTGTAAATTAATATATATTTTTATAAAAAATTGACATTTAATTTTGTCCAATTTATATTCAAATTTGTCGAATTAATATCAAATTAATTTTTATTGTTATCAAATTAATATTTAAATTCATTTAATCAAATTTTTTTTGGTATTAAATTATATCAATTTTTTGGGTACTAAATCAAATGTTATTTTATTTTATTAAATTTTTAATTTTTTTGGCTACTAAAATTGGAGAAAGGCAATTATAAAAATAATAAATTTTTTTGGGTGATAAAGTGATCACTTTTTATTAGCAATATTGAAGGAAGGGAGACAGAGGGGTCTTTGTGTAATAAATTTTAATCTCTAGGGATCTCCGTGTTATTTATAAAATATTTGGGGGGTGTCCACATAATATTGTCAAAACTCAAGAGAAGTCCGTATTTTTTACCCTATTTTTTAATTAGATATTATTTTATTATTATTTTATCATAAAAACTTTAATTATTATATTTCTAATAAAACAATTATTAGTTAGGAAGGTTTGTTGGTAGCCAAAAAATAAATGTGTGAGAGTATATTTCTGTGTAATTTATATGTGGAGGATTAAAAATTTGATAATTAAATTTATAATTTTATCGTGCTATTTGGGATTGAATGGTGATAGTGGTGATAAATTCATGAGTTTTATAAATACATAAGATTTGATTGATTTTATTTATCATTTAAAGATTATGAATTTAATTGCGTTATTATTTTATTTTTTTTGTTTGAGATATTTATTAAATGGGGATAAGGTGGACTAAAAATATGGTGACTGTGTTTATAATTGTATTTTGTTATTGGATTAAATGGTGGTAAATTCACGAGTCTTATAAATGAGAAAAATTTTATTTATTACTTAAAGATTGTAAATTTCAATAAATTAAGTTAGTATTTTTTTTTTGGAGGAATTTTTATATGTGGTATTGTTTTAAAAAGTTTTATATATTTTTACAACAGTTTTATTAATATAGAGGATATGATCGGCAATATATTTCAATTCATTTTAAAAGAAGAATTGGTATGAAAATTTTTAGGTCATTCTTTTTAAATTTGGACAATTGTGTAAAAATTTTTTGTTTGTTATATAATACCTTCAAGCATGGATAATGATTAGTCATATTATATTAGATTCGTTCGTGTATAATTATGTAAAACTAATATATAAACGAGTCGTACCATATATTTCTTTTAATTAATTTTTTCATACTCAATTTGTTTATTAATCATGTCAGATCAATTTTTTTCGTTTACAAAACGAGTGGTTTAAATAAGATTCAAAACTTATAATTTTGTGTCATGTTAATGAATCAAGTTATATTTTTATAGGGGTGTCAATTATATCCATTAACATGAACCCAACCCAATACAAAACTCGAAAATAATACAATTAGTTAACACAGGTAATAAATAAGTTAATTCAAGTGCGCTAAAATAATACAATTAATAAATACTATAGATAAAAAAATAAGTATTTAAAGAGTAATGTAGACAAAAAATAAGATTTTTTTAATTTTTTATTAGCACTTGAAAGTGACCCAAAACAAAAATAATACCATCAAAATTGACAGGACATGAAAATAACACAACACGATTGACACCTCTTACTAATATTGAGAAATTTAAGAAAAATATATTAAAAGAGATTAAAAACATAGGGCTTGTTTGGTTTGCATCTCAAAAAATAGTATCTGAAAATTATTTTTGAGAAGAATTTTAAAAAAGTATTTTTAAAAATTTTTAA